CCATAGTACTGCCCAAAGTTTCTGTGAGTGTAAGAAATAAACACGATTTTAAATTGCCGACGCATCGATGTTGGAACATTCGAGGGGTCTCGAAATTCTATTACAATCATTGCAAAATATGAAATATCAAATTCCTGAATATTTCAGCATAAAATATATAGTTTGCTATAAATATGTTTTGATTTGAGTTGCTCAGATCATTTTAACTAAACGATGGGATTTCCCCTGCTGCTATCTTAAACTAATGTTGGTAGGTCACACATATATCCATATAGCAAATGTGCCTCACAGTTTTACAGTGCCACAAAGGTAAACATAAAAACTCCAGATTTCATTGCATAAGTTTTGGGTTATTTTCATCCTTTCAGCCAACTTACTTTCTTTTTTCAAATTACGGGATTCCTAACATGGGTAACCGCGCATAAATTATATTGGTTACCATGGAAAATCAATACGTTCCTCGCAGTTCTGTTAACTGTTAATTGAACATCGAGTTACAAGTTGGGCGTCGTTTTGCAAAAAATGGTGTGTTTTCTAAAACATGGGCGTGGTAATTTTTGTAACTCGATGTTCGTAACTCGAAGTTTATAACTCGATATCCGTAACTCAAACAATTTAACATCTCCTAAAATGTAGAGGTTTATCACAAGTGGCGTATTTTTAAGGAACCTGAGACTAAAACCAGTGTTGCTCATACTCATACCTCCATGCTCATACACACACATATCCCATAACACAATACGATAATGATGTCATGCGCCCTAACTAATAATCCTTGGTCTCTGATTACCAGTAAGTAATTAAAAAAATAAAGTAGTAATAGGGTTTTTAAAATCCTACCGGTTTTGTTTTTCATGTTATTGTAAGCAGCATTTGAGAGGTACGTTTTCATTTCGTCCTACATACACGCATACTAGTATTCGGGATGTAATCATTATTATTTACTTTATTAATCTGAAAACCTAAAAAGAAATGTTAACTCTTTCTTTACGGTATTAATAAAGCATTATTCCATTCTAAAAAATACACCAGTGATATACACGAACTAACATCATGACAGTGTTGACCCCCCCCCCCCTCCAACTTGAGATTTCACCTTGTTCATTACTCAAGATACTGGCGTTGTTATGTTGTGTCGACATGACATGTATTTTTGAGTGTCAATATTCGGCACTGTTTCAAATTATTTCGAGTAGTCAGGGCAAATCCTCAAATATTTTAATTCACTCGTATTATTATTAGTAATTGTCACACGCAACGTAATATTACCGTAATTGGTATAGTACAGGTGTGATGGTTCAAATACTAAAATGGTTACAGTAACATAAAGACTTCCCTGGCGGCGATGATAAAATACGAACACGGAGCCAACAGATGAGGTTTCAACTGGTACTGGTATTATTATACTCTGCAAACATCAAGTACAATAACGCGGTAAAACTCCACTACTCCAATAACTAGATACTTAAACTCCAATACAATTCAACGAGATCTCCGATCTGAACTCAGTACTGAATAACTCCCCTATTCATACCTCCACTGTCTATAAATAGACCATTACATCAGCATACATAATGAGTCTGGCACTTACTACAAATTTCTAGAATGTTACCTTCTATTGCCTCCTACAGTGTTCTATTACCTATTCAACCAGTTTCTAAACAAAAATCTAGAATATTCCACCCAGATACAGTACGGTTCTAGAACATTCTCAGTGACACGGAAGTGGTAAATAAGTCGTATGCGACAGTAATATATATGTCACATAATTTTTAAAAACACATTTACATCTAACGTATCATCACAGAGTGTAACATGAGCTTTTCTAGTAGTAATATTTGACCATTAGAAACTCTGGGGGTGCGGTCATGTATTTTTTCCGTCACTAAAGTTTTGCTCTATTTTTTTCTATGATGAACTTCTTGTAATTTTTCCCACTGTGTGAAATACGTTTCCTATAAGACTTAGGCGTTTAGAATTTGTTTCTGTGAATGATTCCTCCAGGTTTTTGATTTTCATAATTTTTAGTCTGTGATTTTGTTTTCCAATTCTGCCTTTCCAGAATTCCTAATGGTTAGAGAACAAGGCAAGATGATTAGTTTGGAGTATCTTTGTTCACCATACTTCCACCACTGCACAGCCGCCAGGTTTCAGAATATGGGCAACCTTTCTGAATCTAGAAGAGGGATGTTTTTTTCTTTCTGAAATTTGATATTCACGCGCGATACATAACTTGTACACGGAGATAGTATCCTGTAAATTACTAGTAAATGGGTGGACGGGGTGTGGTGTAACCAAGAAAACATACTTTTCGTCGTGCTGTTGTGAAAACCTGAATACAGTTCTCAAGTCCCCCTCAAATGTACCGGTTCAACCACAACGGCTATTTGAAATCTTGGGGTGACTGCAATCTAGACAACGAGATAAAAATTGCATACAGGGTGTTGCAGGAATCATATGAAATGACAAATAATAATGTACAGAATAGACACTGCGAAAAAATACACTCTCACACACTCTCCCAGCACCCCGTGATTTCACATGGTCGGTCCCTAACTCGGAGATTCCCTGCCTATAGCCGGGCAGTCGCGATTCATAGCCCTTTTACATGTAGTTGTCGGTCTTCTTCTTTCATTTGTTGTACACTGCCGACCACATAGGGGTATACCAAGAATATTTGGAGAGGGGCGATGGCCCAAAAAAATATGCAATGTTTTGTGCTAATTTTTAACTATGCTGTCATCGGTAATTTCAGAGCTGTTCATATAGGTGATTGTCCGTCATCAATAATTATATATTTGACTTCTTTATGAAAACTACCAGCTCAATTGCTTTGATACCTGGCATGTGGTACCTTGGGTAGCCCTCCGTCAGATTTGTTTATTTCGTGACGATATCTTTTAGTGAATATTTTTATCATTTTAGGTAAAAAATGTTATTTGCTATGTAGTGTCCTTTAGGCATGCAGATTTCTGTAATTGATTTGTTTGTTACAATTCCGCCATCACCCCAAGGTTTCTAATGGTCAGTCCCTTAGAGACTTTGCGCTCAGTAAGTAACGAGTCACATACCGGTAAGTCATAGACTACATTTAAGTAAGAAGTAAGTTTCACTTTTCTGTTGTCTACCACTCACTGTGTAGAATATAGTAGCCGATAGCGTTCCATGTCGAGTCTACATAACATCAGAACTGCCACTTATATATAAACCCCTACAAGTATATAGTTTTCTTAGTGGTGTGAAACGAGTCCCATGCATGCATTGTAATTTCCGGTTCTCAGTACGTACGTCTAGTTAACCGTCGCTTATATACTATCATAGAGGATATATGGGTGAAGAATGTGTGTATGTCACTCCGAACATGCCATGCCGCACACTTCCTCTCGTATATTCTCTTTGTCGATTAACAGAGTGCAAGCATTTGTTCTTTTAGAGAAGCCATTTTGAAATACCAGAGCGAGGTTGATGATGTTGTGCAATGCAACACGAACGTTGATTGGCTCGTAAATATTATGTCTTATGCTCGATATTTGCGACAAGTAATTATTCCTTTTTCCAGTCCTGTCGATTCGTTGTTCAACCCATCACCCCGAAATCGTTTTACTTTACTTTTCAGTTAAAAATTCATCTCTGAAATAGAAAACATTTTCTCCCCCACGTGACCTATGTCGGCAATTTTATCCAATCAGCTACACTCTTACACATCGTGACAGTTTTATTTCTCGTGGTCTACATGAGCGGCGGATCGGAGTAAGTGAGCAGCGATTCCTTTCCTAGAATTTTCTGAATTAACTAACCCAGAATGTCGGAAGAGAAAAAGGTATGCTAACGTTTTAGTGCTCTGAGCTCGCTGGAAATATCCTTCAAGTTTCAAAAGACGAAACCATCGAATATTTTGTTTAAAAAATAGTTCGTCTTTCATGACTTTGTTTTTACCGCCACCACGGCAGACTAAAATACACGCGTGTTTTTTTGTCATGGTCAATACCGTGTTGTGACAGGAAGTAATTTTTAGGGGACTGTTTTTATTTATATATCACACTGGCGCTTATTTCCTGTTTCGTCATTGTCAACTATTTAGACCCTTCTAGCGGGATTATATAATTTGGAGGCTGGCTGTCAAATGTACGTCATTCGTATTTTCACAGACAAGTTCAACGCTGGCCGAACTTATTGATGACGCAGCTATTTTATTCAAATTTCCAATAACCTTTTTGCTGCGCTGTTAATTAAGCTCTAGTTTTAAATTGTACTGCACGTCTTCAAGACGCAACATATTATATAATATACTTCATTGGCACCTCTGGCGCCCCAAAAACAATATCAATTTCTTTGTGACGAATCATTATATTGTCTTTTGCGCTATGTAGGTTGGACTAAAGTGTTGACAATGTTTGCTGTGAAACACCCTCCAACAGGTGCTAATTTTGTGTGCAATTACCACAGCCTACTCCAACAAAATCAGCTGTTCAGTAATAGGGAAAAGAGATTGTGGTTAGAGTCTTAATTTGAATGAAGACTGCTGTGCCGTTCACACAAGATAATCGTTTACTGTAAAATACTTTTATTTTAGCTGGAATTAATTTTTGCTGAAAATTTTATGAATTGTTCCTTCAGTGAAAATAGCAAAAATAAAGTAATTTACAGTATATCACTTGTAATGTTTATAATTTAGATTTGTTTATTTTAAAATTAGCTTTATTTTCATGCATATAAAAATGATAAAATATATGCTCTTTGAATCGTTTTGTCGTGAC